GGGGCCCAGCCCCCTCCTCTGCAGCCATATCCTGCTAATACTCTTCCCCCACCTTTTCTCCTGCAGCCCTAATGTGTTGGCTACAGAAGCTCAGGGCCCTTTGAGCCTCCGGTGCAATGATGAGCTCAGTCTCTCAGTCCAACACACCTCTGGTACATGACACCTGTCTGCCACACAGCAAGCGTGGTGGCGTGCTTTGTGACTTTCAAATTGAGCCTCAGTCCATTGTTGCTGTAAGAAAGGCATCCTAATTCCCTTTGCATGCTGCCATCCGTTTTTTTTTTTGAACATTTACCAGACAATTAAGCCAGTGTTGTAATTTCTCCTGCTAGATATGATATTTTCTCAAGTAAAATGGGTATCCATCATTTTTTACTCCTCATTTTAGTCTCCTTAGTCACAGCTTCAGGACGGCTACATTTAGTCTAATCACTGAGATGTGTGCTAATTGTGCCGCTTTACATCAGTGGTCGATATTCATCAAAATATCAAAAGCAGAATAAATTCAACTTATAAATGCAACTTTTAGGGAAGAACTTCAATGTTTTTTTGTTGTTTCCTTTTAATTAGAACATTCTCTATTGTATGCTGTCCCAAACTATCCATAATCTATGTTTATACTTGTGTACAGCACATTAAAGTGTAATTTTCTTATCTTTATGGTTAGATGCCCTCCTGTCTTGTGTCTCATTTGCACACGAGACACAAGCTATTCTCACACCTTGCCAAACGTGTAAAAGGCTTGAAATTTGAAGACGCTTGTTAGCCGTAAACTTGATTACACTATCTCTGGTACCATGCATGGCGACATCAGAGTACATTAAAAGCAACATATCTAGAAATAGTAAAGGATTATATTATGTGAGAAACTGATTCTTTGTTGCAGCCTCGGCTGCCTCCTCAGTACTACAATCTATTTAAGATTTTTTTGAACAATTTTCAACACAATGCTTGTGACTCCAATGCAGGTGATTTACAGTTTTCTTACATGATGCATTTATAAAATGTAAGTTAATATTAAAAAGTTGCATGACGCATATTGACAAGGGGGTACCTTACCTTTCTTTAATCAATTTAGCTGATTCCAAAT